AGTGGTCGAGAAGGTCGTGCTGCGATTCATGATTGTTCATTCAGATTCAAGATTGTGTGATTCGCATATTTGATAATAAGCAGCGCGTCGCGTGACTAATCTCGATCAAGTGTATGAAGAACCAAAAACGATCTGTTTAAGATTTTGATCTGAAACACGAATTGTCAGGCGCGTCGAGCGCGCCCATTTACAAAACTTGACGCCGAGGTGCTTACCGCATGCTGCAGACAGGCGGAATGCAGCTGGCTCTAAGTAGATCTAAGGTAGCCTAAGTTAGATCTAGGTTAGCCTAAGTAAGCCTAAGTAAGCCTAAGTAAGCCTAAGTTAGCCTAAGTAAGCCTAAGTAAGCCTAAGTAAGCCTAAGTTAGCCTAGGTAAGCCTAAGTAAGCCTAATTAGGTCTCTTGAAATGGTCCAAACAAGCCCAGCAGGTACAACAGTCAAGAGTCTTGAGTGAATCAAAGAATCAAAATCATTGAATGCTCTGCTGCAACGAGCAAACGTCGCACATGTACTTGTAATAATCACGAATACAAGATAGCTACTGTAGATGCGTCGACGCGCGAGGAAATCCACTTTACGCGTCAAGCGCAGCCGACGCAGCCCTAGCTCCTGTCGGCCGAGAACGCCGTCCGCTGAGGCAAGCGGCGCCAAGGCGGCGTGCATGTTGCCATCAACGCAGGCTCAGCATGCGCATGGGGGGCAGTCGTGAGTCTCGTCTAATGAGCGTGTTGATTGATTGACATCCAGCAGAAAGTTGAATCGTGACTCATGACTGTGACTCTACAGCGAGCTGCATGAAATCACGAATCTGAGCACGCATGTACGTACGTTGTATGCGCAGCTTCTTACTTCTCCAGCCCCTTGATTCCCGACTCAACTGTGGTCTCTGCATCTCTCACACCTCCTCCTCAAACAAGTCCAGCGACCTCTCTCAAACATCTTGTAGCTGCGCGTAACCAGACCGCCAGCACGTCAGACGAGCAAAGTCTACTACAAACGTCTACAGTCCAGAGGTGTCCCAACAACGTATACAACTTCTCGCTCCTACGTCTCAGCTCCAGCAGGAGCGCATTAGAAAGCTTCGAGAGTCAGCCTAGGTGGATCGGGTCAAGGCGTGGCACTGCCTCTTGGGCACCGGGCGACTCCTTAGCTCATCCCACGCACGAATTCGGGCAATCAGCAGGACTGCAAGAT